CGGGCGTCGAAGCCCGGGTGTGTCCTGAAAGGAGCTGTGCTGGCGCTACAGAGAAACTCCGGTTCACATCTGTGTGCCTAGAGATCCAGACCTCCCTGGCGGCGCCTCGTTGGGTGCCTCTGCACCAGCGGTTCCCTACCGGGTCCGCAAGAGCAGCGGATGGGGATGGGATTGGGGGCTGCGGGCTGGGGCTACGCTGAGGAAATGGGGCCATAAATAGTCATGCTGAGGAAAAGTTTGGGATGCTCTGGTCTGCACCTGTGCCGTAGTTATGGTGCGTTAGGTTTAGTACTTGGATAACCAAGTACTCAATCGATGTACAGTAACTGGTACTACTTCACAGTAACACTGGTCAGCTTTTTAGTGACGCTAACTGTGCAGTAACCTAATACTATTGTGCGGTAACATAGCATATTAGCATGGGTTTTGCCCCTTTCAGGAGCTGTTTGGTTTGGCAGGAAAATGTGTGAGGGGAAACATTCCAGTTGTTGCCGGCTATCTCTGCTTTTTCCTTCCTTCCTACTCAGCTTCCTTACGATGACAGGACCAGGCCTAAGATCCTTTCAGCCACCAAGCAAAGCAGTTACCACTAATAGTCTTTTACAGATATCAGGGGTCAGTACTGAGGTGTTAGGAAACCAGGAGCCTCTTGCATGTGAAGATCTATGGTTTAGTTTCCTCAGATGACACCCAGAGTTCTGGAGGGGAAGTAGACTATTGCCAAACAGCTTCCTTACAGTAGCTTACTGACTGTCATTTTTATTCCTACATGCTACGTGACACATGAACCATACAATTGGTCTCTAGCCCTTTGCAGAACAAAAGCTTAATGGGCTGCTTTACCACTCAAGGAAGGAAAGCCAACGTCATGCTCAAAACCTTGAAAGGCCTTTGACTCAGGTCACAATTTCTTGCTTGGAACAAGACACAAAGTGCAAAAATAGAACAGATTAACCAAGGGCTTGTTTTAACTGGGCATGCCTACACATTCATTAATGTGCAATAGTGACTGTGTATTCAGTTTAGTACTTGTCTAATCAAGTACTAAATAAATGCCCAGTAACAGGAGTTACTGCGCTGTAGCACTGGCACACACCTTTTTAGTGACACTGCTGTGCAGTAGCTTAATAATATTGTGCAGTAGTGTATTAGCACTGTTTATGCTGTGACACGCTACTGCATCGGGTTATTAAGTTACTGCTCAGCATCTCATGTAGACACACCCACTGTGAAGCTAACTTGAGTTATGACTAGAGTCTCAAACATACTCAAAAGTCTTGGCATGGCAAATCTTTTAATTCAACTTGGCTGGCCCAGCAGTAGTAACAGTCAAAACCCAGGTTAGCACAACTGATCAACTACTAACAGATTCACTAAGCAGCATGGAAGCAAGCAGCTAACATACTGCTCATCCTTTTTTGCCTTCTACCGAGGGCCTAGTAAAAGGTAGACAAGTTCTGTTACGGTTCACAAGGAAATCATTCTGAAGCTTAGCTTACTGCAATGTAAAGAACCATGGAATATGGTATCAGAAATCTTTGTGTCACATACAAATATAGGATTTTGTGTAGTAACAGAAGAGATCAGAGGGAGCTTGCATAGAAAATTTGTTTCAAGCATGAATGGTATGAGAGAATCTGAAGTGTATTGCTCATCACATTTCAAGAAAATTGTGACCTGACCTATTAACTCATTTTCAAGCAGGTCAAGCAGAAGTGTATGTGGTACCATTACGTCCTCCAGGTGATATATTCCCGGACAGTAATTGAAATCTAAAACAAAAGAGGCAGTGCTGGACAAATAGAAATCAGGCAAAGCACATATAAACTGTCTGTCAATTCCACAGAAGTTGCTTTTTTCTATATCAATACATAATAGTGAACAGCTGTCTGGAACAGCCTGCCACCGGAGGTGGTTCAAGCGCCTACATTGAACACCTTCAAGAGCAAACTGGATGCTTATCTTGCTGGGATCCTATGACCCCAGCTGACTTCCTGCCCTTTGGGCAGGGGGCTGGACTCGATGATCTTCCGAGGTCCCTTCCAGCCCTAATGTCTATGAAATCTATAATGGAGTAAAATATCATTAATACTCCTTCCTAGCATCCACCAAATGAGCTGCTGTGACTACTTATTCAGAGTAACCATATAAAATATTTAGTTCACAAATAAAGAATAACCTAGTTTCCATGGATACTCTGATCAAAAAGCACAATGAATAATGCATTTCTCAGAATCTAATAAGTGGTAACTGTGGTAACTTTTGTTTCAATTTCCATTAGAAAATACTATAAAAAATTAAAATGGGTTTTAAACTTTTAAAAATTAAATATTGAAGCTTGCTCTTGTTTAGGACTTGGAATTATTGCCTTTGGCTTTTTATTCCATTTTGTATTTTAATAATTCCAGAGGAAGACATCAATAAGTGCATGAAATATCAAATGTGCTTTTAACGATCATTTGCAAGGGGGGAAAAAATAGACAAGGTTTAAAAAAATGTAAGGGAAACACTGATCTGCAAGTCACTTATTCAGCTACTTCTAGAAACCATGTAATGCAGAGACTGTAGTGTGGGTAGGACTGTGAATTGCTCAGTTTAATTATGGCAGACATGTTCCTTTGATCAATATGTTAACACAAATCAGTGATTCTCGAAAAAATAAATTACAATTTCCCCCCTGCCAATTTTAAGATTTTTGAAGAAAAGGGTTAATTTCACCCTTGTTTTCATTTTTGAAAACCCTGGGATTCTCTATATATACATGACAGTAAAATTTGTCCCTCAGATATCAATACTGTTCTAATCCATTGTGCTGGCAATTCAGCATGCTTGTACAGTTACTGATCTTTATCAGCTCACCTTGGCCATGTGGTCTAATTTAGAATGGCAAATTTAGGACACAGAGTGGTTAGGTGTGTTTGTATTACTGTCCAAGAAAGAAATCACATACAAGATAGATATGGAAATGTAAAGGCCCAAATTAGATAATAAAAATTAATCCAGCTTGTGGACATGATGCTTCAGCAGCATTCAGTGTCAGGGGCCACCTTCTGCAGGCACTCCCCTCCATGCTGCTGTAGGGACGAACACCAGCTCTGGGCACTTTCCCTGTGCAACTGGGAAGATAGGCAGTGGTGGCAGCAGAGTCTTGATGCCCACTCTCCTGTGACGTGGGATGGGTCATTCCAATCCTCATCTGGAAAAAAGTAGTCTACCCCTGCCTTATATACTCAAAACTACCACTGCAGTCAGCAGGCATTTTAGGTACCCAGGGAAAGCATGGCCCAATTTTATTTACTTTGCTTGTATGTATTGACCGGGCAAGAAAAGTTAATGTCCAAATATTTGGTCTTTAAATACATTTTTATATTTTTTAATTCTAGTTAAGAGCATAAGAAGCACCATGTACTGGATCACACTATAAGTCCATCTTGCTCAATATCTTGTGTCACATTGGCAGTGAGTGGATGCTGAAAAGGAGTGACCAAGATTTTTCCCTTTCCTCTCCCACTTGCAGCCTTCAGCATTTAAAGTCCAGCTGAACACTGGATAGTGATAGCAGGAAAAAAAAAATTAAACCAAATTAAAAGGAAATTTAAATTCTATAATGGCCCCCTCTGCCTTTCCCCAAGGGAAATCAGAAGAACAGGGGAGAGAGACTAAGACTGTTCTGGAGGACTGAGTACAATTGAACAATAATTTCTTTGCAGGTGAGTTAGAATCATAGAAAGTTAGGGTTGGAAGGGACCTCAGGAGGTCATCTAGTCCAACCCCCTGCTCAAAGCAGAACCCTCCCCAACTAGATCATCCCAGCCAAAGCTTTGTCTAGCTGGGTTTTGAAAACCTCCAAGGATGCAGCTTCCACCACCTCTCTGGTTAACCTGTTCCAGTATTTTACTATCCTCCTAGTGAGAAAATTCTTCCTAAT